AATTATCATGTTTGATGTTGACAGTTGTTTAAATGAAATGTTTTCTCTGGTCCAATTTTTTCAACCCTCTTCATCTGATAAATGTACGACAAGTAAATCTGTCTTTCATGAACTGATATCATCTATAAACATATTGTTTGCTTCTTTTATCAAAGCAACACCTTTCTCGATCCACTCGTATTTAATGTCCGGAGATGCATTTCAAAATGCTTGGAAGATAGGTGATAGGTATTCAACAATAAAGGTTCGTTCAGATATATAACGATACAGGTCTCTTGGCAGCCTGTACTTGAAGTTTGCGGCGAAATCTAGGAGTGCATATCATACAAAAAAGTTTCTTCCGTCAGGTTATCACCCGTGACGGTTGTCTCATTAAGGATTTTTCTGTGTAGTCTGTTTCAAATATCTCACCCCAGCTTCTTAATAACAAAATTTTCCTGCAAAATCGATCGGTTTTTCATTTGCAACAACCTTTTTATTTCTATATAGGTTTCCTCTTCAATAGTCTCCTTAACATAATTTATTGTTGAATTGAATGCGCAAATAAGGTATGGGAAATATTTATCATACATCGTTTTTATTAAGATTGGTTTGTTTGGTGTAAAAATTAAAGCTTCATAGGTCGATTGAATAACTGAACATAGTGTATATTCTCACACGAAGTAGCAATATTTTGTGAGATATCTAATGGTATCGGGAATTGTTGGAATGCACTTTGAGTAGTAACTTCTGAGGTATTTTATGATGTCACGTTTTGTTGAACCGGACTTGGTGTATTTTCGTCTTCTAAAGTTTTTAGATGTCATTAATATTTTTATTTAATTTAGGTGATGGTTTTTTTTTGAGAGGAAGCAAGAAAAAAAGGATACTAAAAATTTTTATGCCGCCACCATATGTAAGAAATCATTTATATATTTTTTTTTAAAATTATAAACACATTAAACACATTTATTTATTCAATGTTATTTGTACAAATAGTCTTGTTTATGTATTTTATATGATGAGTAACCCTCGGTTTCAGAACTTATGCCATTTATAAAAGCTTGAACAAGACTATTTGTACAAATAACATTGAATAAATAAATGTGTTTAATGTGTTTATAATTTTAAAAAAAAATATAT